CCCCCCCCCCCCGTTTTACGGCTCCAATGTCCTCATTGACAAATTCGTTGAGCCGTGAGTGGAGTTCAGGCTCAGCCTCTGTGTCGTTTTCGCGTGGTTCAAATAGCGAGTTGAATAAGTTAGGGTTGATCCCCCGCATCCTCCGCGGAGCTGAGGATCTTCTATTTTGAAAGTCCCTTAATTTAGCTTGAGTGTTCGTTAAGTTAGATGCAGGTTCCCAGGTCCTTGCATCGTCATTATAGCCCTTCCAGTGGACTAGATATTGTAATTTGCGCCCGCGCAGTCTAGAGTCTACGATCTTCTCGACTTCGTACTCGGCGTGTCCTTCCTCGTTGACTTCGGTAGGACCCGGATGATCGGTACGTTGTCCGTCGAGACGATCGATAAACGGTTTGATGCGGCTTACATTCACTACTGGGTGACAGCGCATATGAGACGGGAGTCGCAGTTCTACTGCGTTTGGACCCATTAATTTAGTTATGGAGTATGGTCCAAGCCAGCGCTCCGCTAGTTTTCTAGATGGTCTGTCTACAAGATTGAGATTGGATGAAGATAACCAGACTTCATCTCCGATCTTGTATTCAGGCGCATCGCTTCTTTTCTTGTCTGCGGATTGTTTCATCCTCTCCTTGGTCCGCTCCAAGGCCTTCCTCGTGACCTCTAGGGTCTGTTCCATTTCTGCTTTTGTCTTAGCCACTGCTTTGACCTTCCCTTCTAGGGGTTCTACTCCCATTATAGGCGCATAACTTCTAGTAACCTCAAATGGCGATTGACCAGTCGCTGAGGTTCTATTATTGTTGTGCGCGAATTGCGCCAGCGCTAACCAATCTGCCCACATGGATTGATGGTCTGAGCAGTACATGCGAAGGTACTTTTCCAGTTCCTGGTTTACTCGTTCCGTTTGTCCATTGGTTTGTGGGTGATAGGCCGTAGAATAATTATTTTTGATGCCCAGCACCTTCGCAAGTTCTCGTGAGAACTCGCTTGCGAACTGAGGACCTCTATCTGATACTACTGTTTCAGGTAGACCATGGTCCTTCCAAATATTGTCTCTGTAGAGACAGGATAGCTCTATCGAAGAGACTTTGTCCGTGGTGGGTATAAATACCGCTTCCTTGCTAAATCGGTCGACGACAACCAGTATCGCTGTGTACCCTCGCAATTTTGGTAACCCTGTGATGAAGTCGGCTGAAATATCTTTCCAAGGGCCTGTAGGCGTGGGCAGCGGCTGTAGTTTACCCGCCGGTGCTTTCCCCGTGCCCTTGTTTCTTCCACATCTCTGACACGCCCCGACGTACTCCTGTACCGTGTCCTTCATGTCCTTCCACCAATAATTACGCTGTAATAATTCCAGCGTGCGTTCTACACCAGGGTGCCCAGCACTCGGGTTGTCATGATGCATGTCTAGCAATTGCATGCGTAATATGTGATCATGCGGCATGAATATTTTTTTATTAATATAACAGAGTCCGTCTCTGATTTCTATATCCTTGTTTTTGACGTTTATAAGGGTTATGTCGATGTTTTTAGATTTTTGTCTAATCGCTGAGACTACGTCCATAGCCTTCAGCTTGAGATTTTGTATGCTATGCCAGTCTACATTTTTGAATGGCGGCAGCACCATTATCCCTTTGTTTTCTTCTCCCACGCCCTCTGCGTGATCCTCTCTCCTACTCAGGGCATTGACCTTTCCCATGGAAGATCCCTTTTTATAAATAAGGTCATAATTAAATCTGGTAAGGTACTGCCACCAGCGTGCCTGACGTCGGTTAAGGTCTTGGCTTTCCATGAAATACGTCAAGTTTGCATGGTCAGTCCAAACCTCGAACCTTATGTGCGATCCTTCCAGATATTGGCGCCAAGCTTGTAGTGCTCTTAAAATAGCCAACAGTTCTTTATCATAGATAGGGTAATTAAGCTCTGCTCCAGTCAGGGCGTGCGATATAAAGGCACATGGGTGCCACTTTTCATCCGCTAATAATACTGAGAGTACCGCTCCAGTCGCGAAGTCAGAGGCATCAGCTTCTACTCTCATTGGACGGCTGTTGTCTGGAAATGCGAGTATAGGTGCTGAGGTAAATGCCTGTTTTAACTCTTTGAATGCGGCGTTCTCCGTTGTTCCCCACTCCCACCTCTCATCTTTTTTTGTTAGGTTATGCAGTGGTCTAGCGATCTTGCCAAAGTCTTTGATGAATCGGCGATAGAAATTTGCTAGGCCTATAAACGATCTTACTCCTTTTGCGTTCTTGGGTGCGGGCCAAGAGGTGATTGCTTCGACTTTGTCCGAATGCATTTCCACCTTTCCTTTTCCCACCAAGAATCCTAGAACGTCTACTTGTTCTACCGAGAATGAACACTTCTCTGGTTTTATGAACAGATCGTTGTCTTTGAGCCTCTGCAAGACTTCTTTTACTTTTTTCAAGTGGGCGTCTCTGTCGCCATCTTTACTGAATATAAATATATCATCTATATATACAACCACACAATCGTCCATATCGCCCAGTATATCGTTCATCATGTTCTGGAACGTAGCGGGTGAATTACATAATCTGAAATACATTACTTCTGGTTCAAAGGAGCCCAGAGGCGTGGTGAACGCTGCCTTCCACTGATCCCCATCTTTGATCTGTACGTTGTTGTAACCCCAACGTAGATCCATTTTGGTGAACAGCTTCGCTCCTTTTAACCGATCTATCAAATCCGAAATCAACGGAATTGGATAATTATTTTTAACCGTCCACTTGTTTAAATATCGGTAGTCCTGCACCATACACTTTTTACCGTCCTTTTTAGGGATGAAGAACACAGGAGAAGTCTGCGGAGATTTGGAGGGCCGGATATAGCCCTTATCTAATTCTCCCTTGATGAACTCTCGGATCTCTCCTAATTCTTCTTCCGAAAGGGGAATAAGCCTTCCCTTTCTGGCGGTAAAACCATCCATGAGCTCAATAGCGTGATCCCATGCTTTTCACTCTGGCATACGTTCCGATGCAATTTTTGAAAATACCGATAAGTACTCGTGTAAGGTCGGAGGTACCAAGGCTGCGGGATCATCCTGTGTTTCCACTTTCTTGGTGTCCAAATTGTCCTCGATCCTGCGGATGATTCTATAGATAGTTTCGGCAGAATCAATCTCCGAGTCTTTTTCCATCTTCCTCCACTTGGGTTCAGGCCACAGCTCAAAGCAGTTGTGAGGGCACCGGGACATTTTGACATCGCCGGTTTCCCAATTGATTTCAGGGTTATGGTGCGCTAACCAGTTGAACCCTAAGATCATGGGCATTTTCCCAAGCTTTGTTACTTCGAACTGCGCCTTCTCTCTATGTCCCTTGTATTCGATCACAAGCTCCAAGGAATGCGTGATGCTTCCTGACGTATTTTTGGTGCCATCCACATTGAATACCGTGATGGGGTGTTCCTTCCTCGTGAACTTGAAGCCCTGCTTCTTGCCCCAATCCCAATCTATAAATAGCCCAGTGGCTCCGGAGTCGAGTAACGCTGAGCAAGCGATCTCGTGATTTCCTTGTCGCACAGTCACGGGCATAAGTATTTCTCTGTCCATATTGTAAGTCCGTATCAATTGTACAGGCGGGGATTTTATAGATATAGTGTCTATCGTAGCTAATTTTTTATGTATTTTTTCTAACGGGGAATTAAGCACGGGTTTCCCACCGCCGAGCTGATCATCGCGAGGTTTTTCGTTTTCAGGGGCCTTGGAACTCTCCATACATCGGCTGGTCACCGGAGCGGGGGCCACACAGGTCTCACCCTGCTTCCAGCTGTCCCCAGTGACATCTAGATCTGTTCTGGAGCTAGCCCCTACTGTTGCGTGGGCGACGTCTGACTGAGGATAAATACTAGGCACTCCCCTACTTCTTACTTCTCGCTGCGCGATCTCAGACCCCCCTTGGGTATGCATGCCCTGGTGGGACGTTAAGTCCGCTTCCGGGTCTTCTATCGTACACTCACCGAGTACATGGTACCTATTATAATTAGAAGTGTCTTTCAATGCTACACTGTCCGAATGGTTTGTAGAGTCCCGATTACCCCGCTCATCGGAGCTCATTGTTCGTTTAAAGATTCGTAGTCCTTAAAATAGGCCCTGGCGGCCTCGAAGTCCATGTCCTTTGTGGCTGCTTGCCACCGTAACGGGGTAGCATTGCTACCGTTTTGTGCCTCTGCTGTCTGAGGCTGCTCAATCTTTTGACCTGTGTAGGGGTCGTATAACGCACGGGCTTGGAAACCCGTGGCGCCCTGCTGTGGGCGACTTTCTCCTCTCCTCTGCTGCTGCGGCTGGCCGCCTCCCTTCCTTTGAGGACAGTCCCGCGCGAAGTGCGGGCCTTGGCAGGTGAAACACCCTCCTCTAGGGCCACTACTAGACGACGCTTGTGTCGCCCCGATGTCCATCAGTTCGCCCATGTACGGCGGTGCCCGATAGTTTGTCGTTGAGGTCAACGGCTTCGGTTCGTAGTTGACCCTCCTCTTCCCGATTGCGATGTTGTACTCCTCGATTCGGATCCCAATGATGCGTACGGCGGCGTACACTTTCTTGAGATCCGACTCGTGTTGACCTCCCACCCGGTAGAGCTCTTCCCGGATGGGGTTGCTCATGTTCTTGATGAGCAGGTCGATCGCATGACCATCTTCCACCTTGCCTTGTTCTTTCAGGATGAAGAACTCAGCCAGCCATTCCTCCACTCTCCTTTCTCCCATGCGGAGACCCAACAGCTTCTTCCTTGCCCAGTCCTTTGTTGAGCTTGGAAGGAAGGCTTCCGAGATGAGCCTGAGCATCTCCTTCTCGGTAGGCCATGGTTCTGTACCATCCTTGTACAGATCAATGTGGTATTGGGCCCACTTGGCCGGGATTTTGCCCTTCATCCGCGTGAGGATGGCAGAGGATTTATCAAAGTTTGTTGGCAGCGCGGAGGCGTTGGCGTAAAGCCATAGCCCCATTCGGCTCTTCCAGGGAGCAAAGTTGCCAGGCTCTCCGTCAAAATCGCCGGGGTCCTTTACCCCAATGATTTTCTTCTCGATAGCAGCCGGACCAGGCTGCGCATGTTGGATGGCTTGGTATGCCGCCAACTGTCCTTGCAAGCGCGTGATTTTGGTTGCTTGAGCTTGGGCAAGGGTCTGCGCATTTATGCGTTGCTGGTCCAGAGCGTGCAGCTCATCTTGGGCATCGCTGAGATCTGACTCGAATCGGGTCTGCATCTGATTCAGCTGGTTCCAGATGGCTACTGTCTGCTCGAGGTTGAACCCATCATAGGGGGTCGTCGGAGGAGGCATTGATCGTAACAGTCCGAGTGTTCAAGACGAAGGATGATATAAAAGGATAAGTAAAGTAAACAGCGTCGGGCCGCTGTGACTCGGTTGGGGCCAATAGCCTTTCCCCACACCTGACTATAGTAAAGAAAGTACAGGAGATACTCCAGACAACAAGATGCACAGGTGACTTCTGTGTTGTTGCTGGCGCGAACGTCGATTGGGCAGATTGACCCAATGTGGGACTGCCATGGCCTGTACTGTCGCGATCGCATTCACGACAGCATGACCAGTCATGACACTTACGATTTACCTACATTTCACGCATCGTCGCTGAAGTTGCAGCTTCACTTCTTGGTGCAATAGGTCACATGACCGGCTACCTCAATAACCGGTCACATGACCCGGTTCGGCTACTATACATTACCAACTTACTTAATCATTCCATGACATTCCCGGACATTCGTTATAATATCATCATGATGTCACAAACGCGTCATCAACGCGTCATAACTGACATCACACATACGTCACTCCTTTACCATTAGTAGTAGTACCTCGCACTGCTTGGTCTGTGCGCACACAGTCGTTACCATATTAGTTAGTCTGTTTGGCTCAACCAAACATCATGTACTTGTATATAGTCTGAGCAATCTACGCCCCAAGACTCTAAGTGAGTTCTTGTGGGATTCCCTCCTAAAAGTCCTTTGCCTAGTCTTGCCACGTCGGCGAGCAGTCAACACTCCTCATCCCCGCCTTTACCTCTCGGCGTTGTCCTGTATAGGGCTTCGTCGTCTACTTCTTCGTGTAGATCTTACGTGTAGTTGGTTTCTGGGGCTCGCGCCTTAGGAGTCGCTCACAAAAGAACTCACTTCCCCTCTACCCCCTAAACCAACCTTGCTGCATTCCGGCGGCGTATTCGCCGGAGACAACTTTACGTACAGCCGAGAGTCGGCTTCTTTCGGGACCCCGTTTATACCTTTTACGTAAGAGCTGGGCACTAGGCCCTTAAACGTACCAGGGCATTAGGCCGGGTGGCAAAGCGCGAGGCAGGGGATACCGCGAGGTCCCTGATTGGCTAACCGCCACCTCATTACAATAGTTCAACTTCTTTGGCTTCGGCCGCGTCCTCGTGAGGCGCACTTCTTGTAGGACAGTAGGACAGTAATTAGCGAGTGCCACCATCCCGAGGTTCGAACGAAGTAGAGACCGGTGGTTAAAGCGGTCCTCAAAGACCTGCACACCACGACTCCTTCTAGTACAGCTTTTGGAGGCTTTGTGGTCAGGAACGACGTACCGGGGCTGGTCGAGCAACCTCCCTAAGGGTCCGCGTTTCACTCGAGAAAACTATCGAAAGATTGGCTACGCGGGTTGCACCTAGTCTATAGGAGCGGTATCACCCCAGATCCCAATTGGATCTAAGAGGTACCACCACGACGTGTTGCTTAGCACCGTGGAGAGCCCGTGCGCATCTTTGTGGACAGACAGGATTTTGTGAATCCTTTCAGGAGGTGAGGTACAGGCAACAGAGGTGCCACTTTGGGTTAATTTGTGGATCTCATAAAAGCACAGGCTATTTTTGTGGTTGTCAAGGAAGATATGGCAGTTGTATGGATTCTATGGACTCTAAAGATAAGCTGATCTTGACCATGAGAACATCCATTTTTGGGTGCGATGAGCCCAATCTATCAGCTGTAAGTGGTAATGAGAAGATTGAAAGCAGTCTGCTAAGTTCAGTGGTGTGAATACTTTCAGAGCTGCACTTGTTAAATGTGGACAGTCTGTATGTTGCTGTGCAATAGCATAATGGACCATACATCTGGCCTCTGAGCACTTGCTTTTCTGCTTTTCCTCTCCTCACTTGCTCTGTGCTCCCATTGTATTCACCACAACCTGCCATTTACACGTACATTCAATGAGGTGGGCTCTGCCTGTACTTTACTATATATACTTGTTTACTATGAAGTGCTAGTGACAAAACCAACCTTTTGAACCCTGTGTCTGCTCCTGAGCAGGCATCACCACTGGCTACTGAGGTGCCAGCCAACAGGGATGCACAGGATACCACCTCAGGTGTGCCCAATGATGGTGGGACCCCACCCTTGCTGTGAATGTTCTCAGCACCAACAGCACCCCATTCCTTGCTGCAGGCACCTCAACTGTTGCTTCCAGTGTTCCTGCTGGTTGTAGGGTAGCCTGCTGTTGAGCAGGCAGACTATGCAATACAAGTTCGAAGGGGATACGAAAGCAAAGTGCCAGAATAGAGGGGATGGAATATGAGGAGAGAGGCTTGGACTGAACTCAGGTTTCTGAGAGAGAAAGTGGGGCTGAATTCAATGCAGATTAACTACAACATCAAGCAATATTTATATGTTTTTGAAGCTAGCTATGAGTGGAAGAGATTATGAGTCAAAGGAATGCATGTACATGATGTTTGCAGTGGATGTCAGGGATAAGCAGAGACCATGAAAAGAGCACTAAAGAATTTAGGTACAGATCTTGCTGCAGGTGGAGTCAGGAGTCCAAGCGAGATGTTGAGGCCAGAGGGACAATGCGAGATAAAGTGTATGACACGGATGGTTGTTGATAATGGTCAGGGTCGAGTCGAAGCAGGCAGGTCAAGTCGTGGCGAAAGGTGTCGAAGCGGTCGAGATGTGGCGCAGGAGCCATCTAGGTGCATGCACAGCGCATCCCTTACACGGCAATGACACTCCAGCTGTTGCTTCCAATGCTCCCATGGGTGGCGGCACCCTGGCTGTTGCCTTGGATGCTCCCGATGGCAATGGCACCCCCAGCGCCAACACCAGCAACAATCCAAACCGCAAACCATCTGGTGTCACTGAGGCCCCAGATGCTTCAACTGGTGTTGACAATGACATAGCCCATTTTGCCCCTCCACACAGCCCTAACAACCTGTTTTACTATGTGGAGCTCCTCAAGTGTTTATGGACATGGTCACCATTTGAAAGCTCCTCAAATCACGGCTTGAGGGTTATTGTGTTGCACACAGTCAGAACTACATCCACACTTGCAACTACGTTGACAGTCACCAACAAGTATTTTGAGTTGGTACCCTGGTGAAACAAGTTTCCAACCCTATTCCAATTGATTTTGACCCTCACACTGTCAAGTTGCTCTCCTCCCTTGAGGAAACTTAGAAAAGATGCAAGATTGAAGCAATGAGATTGGAATGTTTGTTTCTTGCACTTGTTTCTCTTGGTCTTCTAATTGTTCTGTAGTTGATCAAAAACTGGCTTGACTATTGTGTTGAAATCACCAGACCACCAAGTTACCCTAGCAACAAGGACAACACTGTCTGAACTCAATTCATCAAGCAGATGTCTGGTGTCCCTCAGATGAAGCCCAAGAAACTTTTGGCCACTCAGTTCTGGTTAAAGGAGCACTACTCTACAATTGTCAAGCCCAATTTTGAAGCTCAGTAGGCAAAGGAGCAAGAGCAACTGAGCAAGAAACATCACTCAGAGTTCTGCAAAAAGCTCACCAAGTTGCACTTCCGTAAGTTAACCTTGAAGCAGCAGGATGAGTGGGCCAAGAAAGCAAAAGCATCTCATGAGCAAGATGTGGCCGCATGGCACACTGTGCTCAACACGCCAACTGATACTTCCCCTGAGGGGCAACAGTTGTAGGTCCACACACACAAGTTTTGTTGTATTTTCTGATATCATTCAACAGGGCTATCAATAATTTACCATTGTTTATGCAGCCTATTCTTAATGCCATTGAGGATGCTACTGGCATGCACACAAACATCCTCATTGGAGGACCAGAGCCTCAAAGAGGGCACATTAGCATTGTATTGTAAGTTGCTCATCATCAGAAGACTTCTTAGTCATAAACTCCATGCCAACTTCATATCATCTCTAGGACACTCCGTCCCACTTTCAGTCACTTCTAGTCCTCTTCCACATCCTCCTGCCCTCCTCCGGATGTCTTCTGTGACTTCCACTCCACTCTGATGTGCTTAGCATGCACTAGGACTTGTACTTGGGACTTGCACCTCAGTGCCTTGTTGTCTTGACACCCCTTCTGGATCTTCAGATCATTCCTGTTGACCTTTGTGTCCTCCCTCCTGACCTCTGGTCACCTCCTGTTCTCCTCCGGACTTCTACATTCCCCTTCCATGTTGCTATGCTCCCTATAACCTACTTTTCCACAGTCTTCGTAGTTTTGCGCTTCTTATTACTTCTCCATACTTCCCTTCTATCATACTTAGCTTCTTGCTTGTCTTTGTTCTAGCGTATCTTAGCTTACTCACACTCCCTCCAATGTATGTTCCCACAGTCTCCAAGATCTTGTAGCTGACTATGTAGCTTTGAATATCTTCCCTTACATATTAGTATTTTGTAGTTACATTACTTACTGTTTTTATGATACTTACATTTCTTCATACTTACATTTCTTCATACTTACATTTCTCCCTTTCTAGCTTTTCCTCCAGGTCCTCCAGGTCCTCTGGACCTCTTTGGTTACCTCCAACCCTGTGGAGTTATTCTCCCATGCCTCTGAAGCTTTGGAGCGCAACATAGATTTCTGTAGCACATTCCCTCTAGTTCTGTTCTCATCCTCCAGTTGGGATCTATTGGCACTGGTACTGTTGAAGGTGATCCTTCTTTTAAAAAATTACATAACAAAGCCCTTAGCTCCGTTGGGTTGGGTTTGCAAGATTCCCCTGCTAGGCACACTCGTGACAAAACAGCTGTCCAGAGATGATAATGACACTGTGTATGCAATACATGTATTGGAACACATATCATTTTCCAATCCCTTGACACTGCTCAGATGCACAAGCTCTTGCTTGGTCAAGTAGAGTAATAAGGTTTTGAGGTCAGGTAGTTCCTCCTTGAGGATATCATACACTGTTTTGTACTGATCCTCAGTCAGGTTCTTCATGAGAAGCTTCAGTATTATCCAGAGTGAATAATTGTTGGTGAGGCTATTGATGGAGGTAGGAGGATGGCAAAGATGTTTACAAGTAGCCAAGGTCATTCTATGGTGAGTGGTGTTGTCAATCATCACGTGACAGAGAATAGAAAATTACTGGATTGGTGAAGCTAAAGTATCAACTAATTCTGAATTATATCAAGTTTGATGAATCTGATCAAATTCTGGAGATCCTCAATGGTGGTTTGCTCCTCCATAACTTGTAGATCCTTGTATGTGTAGCCTGCAGTCTTGTGTACTTTGTTCTGCAGTGAAAGTTCTGATATCTGGTTGTCTTCCTCCTTTGCAGGCTCTTTCTCTTTGGTCAGGTTGTTGCTTCACCTGTTGGGATAACCACCACATGGATCACTCTTAACAGGAGGGTTCTGAGCTGCATGCATGCTCTTTGTTTTTGACTTCTGGTGGCAGCTTGTTGGCTTGCTGACACTGCTCCTTGCACTTGTCAAGCTCATCCTTGACAGAAACATATTCCACAGTGAAGGTGTCCTGTGTCAAGAATATTAATCAGCCATTCAGCCAAAGTTATTTCCTTCAAGACATGCACCTTGGCATTCTGAGTATGGATCTGAGCCAATACCAACTCACATGGAGGTGAGCTCATGTGTGTTGTCCTCATTCAACAGAGGCATACAAGGCAATGTCTAACAAGTGTTATAGATTATAATATCATGGTAAAAGCTAAATTAACATACCTGAGAATGAGCATCAGTCTGAAGTGTTCCCTTATGTGTCTGAGGAGCTGTATGGGTGCTTCTCATGGCCAAGCATGCATGAGAAACACCAGAACATTGTCTGAAATCAGCTGCAACACCAGGGGGTGCAGTCTGCTGTGAGGGTGTTGCTGCATAAAAGGTGTTGAAGATGTAACCACCTCCAGCCAGCTGCAGCCACATGTCTGGGTTGTGCTTGACCCATTGTTGTCTCATCAAACAACAAGCTCTGCTGCCAGTAAAGACAAGATATCAGTCACAGACACAGTATTAGTGGCTCAAGCCTGGTGGTGGTAGGCCCTTTAAGATGTTCTGGCAAGTGGAGTATGCCATTGCATGCTCTGACAAATAGTTGCTTGCAAGGAAGGTTGTATATACCTGGAGAGATGGTACAAGTTTCACTAGTAGAAAAACAGAGCTCATCTTCCTTGTTTATCAAACATGCATATAACTGACATTGCTTGTGTTAGTACCTGTGCAGATATGTGCTAGAATAATCTATTTGTAAGTGAACATACAGAGGTTTCGTGCTTTGTTGAGTGAGCTGCTCAATGGATTGCACTTACTTTAGAATGTGCAGTTGAAGAAACTAGAGAGGGATGTGTAAGTGGTCATACTAATGTACACCTTGTCAAAGGAGCATTGCAGCTAGCTTTTCTTCAGTGGGAACATCAGGATGCAGAGTTGTTGAAGGACACAGCTGGTGGAAAGCCTAATAGGCTCTTTTCTGCGGGACCAACAGGTGGTAACAGAAGTGCAGGTTTCTATTACAGCCAATCTAATGGCAGCGGATATGTTGCCCTAATTTTACTGTTGTGAGCAACCCTTAACTAGGGGAGTCACTGCACATGCAAACGGGAGAGGAGAGATTGAGATGAACTAACCCTAACCCTAGATGGGGCTTGGACAGAAGTAGATGCCTCAAGGAGAGAACTGGAGACTTAGGTTTATGAACAGAGCTAAGGAGAAATTCCAAAAGAACTCTCTTGGAGTTCTGGGTCATCAATTGCAGTCTTATATACTACTGGGCAGCTGTGCACAGACCATGTAACTAAAGGTAAGGCTCCTGCCTAATTAGGAATACAAAGTACTTAGTAATACAAGCACACCATATTGTGTGATCCTTGCGTCATATGATGTTATGGTCCAGACCCATCACATGCTTGGTCATGTGCCTGCTTATGTAATAGATAAGGCCAAAGCCTGGCCATGTCAAAAACAAATGTGATAAATAATGCATTGTTTGTCTGAGTTAGGGCTAGCAGGAGGCATTTTTGACAACTGTGCACCAATTTAACTGTAGCATGCATAACATCTATCTAATTGCAGTACAGGCAATGCAATCTAGAGCTATTATGTCAGTTTATCTAGCTGACTTCTATAGATCTGCTATCTTTGCCTTAGATGTGGGGTCTTTTCTCATGGGATACCGTGAGATAGACTTCCAGATTCCAAGTCAACAGTTCTGGACAGAAGTGAGGGTTATTTATAAAATCTGATGGTATTTGGCAAAGTGTGTTTTCACTGGGCATAAGGTTTTCCAATTCTAAGATTGAGATGTTAGTTCATCTGCTTCAGACCTTATTACATTATGGCAAGACTTCTTCATGTCCTACCTATGCTCCACTGAAGTCATCACTGATGCACATCTTGTTCATTTGTCTTCAGGCAGAGCCCTCTACACAGCCATCCACATGCTACTCTCTGAGTCCCTTTACTGTAGAATATGAGTGAACACTTATCATGCAAACAAGATCAGTGCTTTTTTTGGGCAGAATATATGCCAGGAGGCTTTATTCTTGCTTGGCATCATTAGGTGACCTCCCCACAGACTTAAATGTGGCCTCCCCCTTCTCACTAGGCTGTCATACAGCAATTGATCCAGGGTCCAAATGTTAACTTTTTGCCCAACTAATGATAACTCAAGTCCTTCAACATGATTGTGCTGCCAGGCTCAAGCACCATAGAGTTTTGATTGCTCTTTGAGGCTTTCCTGGAGCAACTTGATGGAGTCTTCATTGTCAGAAGTTTTGTCAGGCAGTGCTTCAAGCTGTAAGAGCTAGAAAGATATCAACTTGCTATTAGTTCAACAGCTATGACATGACCATACCAGTTTGTAGTTGAAAACTGCCCACCACTGCTGCATGAGCATAACCTCTAGTTCACCACCCTTGTGATGATTGTGCCTGATTCAAGCTAACTTGCTGTTATGTTCATACAGAAATGTCCAGTGGCCATATGTTGGGCTGCACTTGTATAACTGTTCTTCACAGTGCTGGCCGAAGGGGAAATAGGGGGTCAGGGGCAGATGCATGGATGCCCATGCCTGGGTGGATCAAGATAATGCTGCACAGCCTCATTGAGCATTGTCAGGCAAGATCTGGCGAGTACCAAGTATGTGAACTGCAACTGAGAACTCAAGTAAGATGTCATAGTGTCGCTGGAGATTACAATCAGGCTTGACATTCGAAAGCTGATCGAGAACTTCCGGGGCGGTGTGAAGATCTTGAGTGATGGCATGTTTGCGCAGTCGTGCTTGCGTGGCTGCCGTATATTTGGCCTGAGTCTTGGCAATAGTGGTGTGGACTCCAGATGGAGGGGCATCAGTGTCGGAGATGATACCATTGTGCTCCCAAGCTGCAAAAAGACCAACAAAGAGAACAGAGATGAGGTTCTTCCATTGGTCAGCCTTGATAGAACCTTTGCTGTGCAACTTCTTGCCGGTGGTGAGATCAACAGTAAGGTGAACATCATGAGAGACATACTGAGGGAGGTAGGCATGTCACCTCATGCGGCCATGTCAAGTTATCAAAGAACTCTTCAAGCCACTCAACAGGTTCAGTATGACGTGTTGAGTTGAGGAGTCCATGTCCATGTATGATCACCCTTGTGATGTGTTTGACCATGGCTTTGGGAAACAATGAACTTGACATTTACTTGCGGCATTGCAAGGGGCGCTTACTAAAAAATACGCAGTGCATGAAGTCAATGACAGTACTGCCTGTGGGCATCCATCTTGCGAGGTAATTAATCAGTGTCCACAATACTCCATGGTGTTGTCGAATGACTTGAGTTGAGACTTCATTGTCACATGATCAAAAAGTGTACTTGACATGTCTCCAGTCTTCTTGACATGCAGGATTGAAGAAGAAGGGATGCACAAGCAAAACTGACATAGCACAGCAGTCTGTGCACATAAATAGTTTGGGCGAGTGACTTTGATAGCCATCTGTACGTCAACCTGATGGAAGGTCCAAACAGTTCATCCATAAATGGGTGTGAACAGGCTTGAGCTCATTGTGATTGTATACCTTGAAGTTGATGCCTTGATTGAGTCAATGGATGCTGTTGACAAATTCGTCCATGACATTATTCTGCTGCTGTAGAGTGGGCTTGTGTGGACCGGGTAAGACCATGATGAGTATGATTTCTTCAGTGAGGTAATGAATAGAGTGCGGGTTGTTGCAAATTACAACATAGTATGCACCTGTTGAATGGCAGTCACATTTGGTTGCCTGGAACCTTAGACACTCCATGGTTGAGCACGTACTGATAGGGAATGGATGTAGAACATACCAGTTGATGTTGAATTGAAGGACACGGCCACATGGCAAGGAAACAAACTGCTGATTGAGCTTGTGCATGTCTATGTCTTGTATGCCAAACTCTCCTCTGTGTTGCCTCTCGAGTCCTGCCTGAATAGCTTGCCAGCCCCATCCATCATAAACGTTGGCCATGGGTCTAAACAGATCAGTGAAGGCTTGAAATCCAGTCTCGGGTGTTGGAGGAACAGGACTGGGCTCATTGTCTGGCCCACGCCAGTGTTAAAACTGCTCCCACTTGCCAGGTTGTAGCAGAAGTCATTGAATAGCATGTTCAAGAGGGATGTACAGAAGAAACTTGATAGGAGCTCTCTTGATCTTGCCACCTGCAAGCCACTTCTCCTTGTAGATGGTTCCGGGGCAGTCTTCAACAGTGCAGGATGGTGAATCGAGTTCAGCTAGAGTGGAGGGATGATGGACAGCCCAGCAAATGTCACACAAGCATAGATGGATGATGAAGTTGTCCATTGAGAGGCCCAGCCATTTGAGCACTGTAGGAACTGTACAGGCAAAGTCTGTCAAGCCTGGATACTCATGGCCAGGATTGTTTTGGGCAGCCTGGGTGATGGTGTTACAGAATTCTTTGAGGACAGACTGGGCGGGCATATGGGTTATGTAGTGTACAACAAAGAACAAATACACATTTGTACACATTGCGAATGCTGGGATGATCATTGAATGCACAGGGAAGTTCATCGTGAAAGAAGTCTTGTTTATGTACATCTGAAAAGTTTAATGTATCATCAAGAGGAATGTGGAGGACTTCATTGAGGACATCTTGAACGTATAGCTGCTCCCCTTCCTGCTCCTTCTCCTCCTCCTCCTCCTTCTCCTCCTCCTCCTCCTTCTCCTCCTCCTCCTCCTTCTCCTCCTCCTCCTCCTCCTCCTCCTCCTCCTCCTCCTCCTCCTCTTCTTCCCTGTGCATGGATGGAGACAGTGTTTGAGTGTGCACAAGATGTGTGAAGAACTTATTGTCTTTGCTAAAATCTCCTTCAGCAGCTTCATCCAGACTTGGATTATGTTGTCCAGTAAACAATGTGTCTCTCTCAGGCAAGTCTTGCTGCGATAATGAGAGTACCCTAAGGCCACATTGAAAAGATTATAGTCTAATGCAATTCAGCATACCTGGTGCTGGATATCATCTTCTCCAATCTTGTTGTTCCCTCCCTACTGACCTGGCTCCTCGTCCCATTCTTGCTGGTCATCTTTATCCATTGGTTTCCCAAAGTCTAGTGGTTCCAGAGCATTGACATCTGCATGCTCAACCAGTTCCTGCTTGAGTACCTGTGACGAGTGATGTGCCACTGCTATTGCATCTTGGAAGGTATCCGCCTCCCTGTGTGCCTTGGTGGTCCTGGGTTTTTGTGGTCTCCAGCCTGTGGGGTGTCTGCCACATCTGTGTAAGTGGGAAGAGCAAAGTTCAGACACAACAGGAGGTGCATTGGGACATTGCTGCGGATGATGAGTGGTGAGGACAATTGCGCGGGAGTCAGGCCCGCGTTAGTACTTGATCAGGCACAATCCTGCGTGGACATTGATCAAAGACACGTGCTGACCAAAAGCGAGGCATCAGCGGAACAATGTCAAGAATCAAGAGGTGGTCATAAGGAACGTAGTCAAAAATAAGGTCTGATGTCTAAGTATAACCAGCCCTCACATCCATAAGAGTAGTGGTGAACTCCACAAAGATATATAATAGTTATCTAGCTGCGTGTACATGAGTAAAGACAATAATGCACGGTGCAGTAATACACATGCCCTCCAAAGTGCGAGTAGACAGCTTGTGGGTGCATATTCAATACAGGTGCTTTTACTATCTCACGGTGGATATTTAATTTGAAAGTCCTGTGGATCAAGCTGCATTACTGTTACTGCAATATACTCCATTCCATTGCTACCGTATGGCTGGATCTGTAATACTCTGTTTGGGAATGTCAAGTATGTCACAATATATAATACAGTTTTGAATAACTAGCTGTAGCCCAGTGCTTAGCTTCTTTGCATTTATAATCTACAGTAACCTCCCAGTTACAGCCAACAAGAGTACTTTCAACTTGTACCTTGTTGCTGAAATGTTTATATCCTCATTCTGCCTCAATCTATACATTACCACCCTCATAGCAGGTTACCTCTATCTTTACAGGCCTTGCTTCAAAGCAAATTGGAGTGTATTTATTCATCTCTGCCTGCTTGTTACTGCTTACCAAGTCATATTTTATTCTTCTTAGGATCACCCAACTCACAACACTACTCATCCATGGGGTATCATACTGGTTGAGTCCTATGTACCCCTGACAAGCTACACCATCCCACTCTTGGTAATGTACCTTTTGGATCAATCAGTTGAATATATAGTAGTGTTGATTCTTTTGGTGAGATGCAGATTATAACACCACTTATGGTCATGATCCATGTCTTGCACAGGTATTTGTCCTTAAACCACAATGTTCCAAACACATGTTGCCAAACAGACCTGGGAAATGCTGTTGATACCTAAACATACCTCCATGTTCAGCCTTGTGCATTTAGAATGTCAATGATAGTCCGGTTTTTTCAGCTTTAATGCTCCAGTTATTGGAGGTATAATGGTCTGAGTATTTCAGGTACAAATACAATGCTCCGGCCATTGCAGGTATAATGCTCTGGCCATTTCAGCCACAATGCTCTGGCCATTTCAGGTATAATGCTCTGGCCATTGCAGCTACAACACGCTGGTTGTTGAAGCCGTCCTGCTCCGGTTATTTTAGCTATAATGCTCCTGTCATTTGGACCACCATACTCTGGCCACTGCAACCACAATAAAGTAGTTACCACAGGTATAGCACTCCGGTCATTTGAACCACAATACTCCGGCCACTGCAACTACAATACTGCAGTTATTACATGTGTAATGCTCCAGTTACTGTAGCTACAATGCTCTGG